TGGGGGGGAGGGGTCCCCCCATTCCCCCCCCCCCAGATCCTGGGCTACTTCGACTACGCCTTCACCTCCATCTTCACCGTGGAGATCCTGCTCAAGGTATGCCGGGGGTGTCCCCAGGGTTTTGGGGGGGTCCCCAGGGTTTTGGGGGGGTCCCAAGGGTTTTGGGGGGGTCCCAAGGGTTTTGGGGGGGGTCCCCAACGTCGGGGTTCACGGCCTCCCCCAGATGACGGCCTTCGGCGCCTTCCTGCACAAAGGCTCCTTCTGCCGCAACTGGTTCAACCTCCTCGACCTGTTGGTGGTCGGAGTCTCCCTCATCTCCTTTGGCATCCAGTGAGCTGGGGTGGGAACTGGGAGGCACTGGGAATGCTGCTGGGGGCTCTCGGTGGCACTGGGAGCACTGCTGGGGCCACTGGGAGCACTGCTGGGGCCACTGGGAGGCACTGGGAGCACTGCTGGGGGCACTGGGAGGCACTGGGATCACTGCTGGGGGCACTGAGAGCACCTTTGAGGGCTCTGGAGCCACTGGGAGGCACTGGGAGTGCCACTGGGGGCATTGGAAAGCACTGGGAGTGCCACTGGATGAAGTGGGGGCACTGGGAATGTCACTGGGGGTACTGGGAGGCACTGGGACCACCATTGGGCAGACTGGGAGTGCCACTGGGACCACTGCTGGGGCCAGCAGGGAAACTGGGAATGCAACTGGGGGCACTGGGAGGGTACAAGGAATGCCACTGGGAGTACTGGGAGCAGTGCTGGAAACACTGGGAGGCAGTAGGGGCATTGCTGGGAGCGTTGCTGGGAAGCGCTGGGAGTGTTAATGGGAGCACTGGTGTCCCCTGACGCCCGCGGCAGCTCCAGCGCCATCTCGGTGGTGAAGATCCTGCGGGTCCTGCGCGTCCTGCGGCCCCTGCGAGCCATCAACCGCGCCAAGGGCCTCAAGGTGTGGCACTGGGAGCACTGGGAGGCACTGGGGGACACCCAGCAGCGCCTGTGGCCTGCTGCAGGCTGTACCGGTGGGACTGGGAGCGCTGGGGCCCCCGTGTGGGGTGTTACTGGTGTCACTGGGGCGATGGGACTGGGAGCACGGGTGTCTCCGGCGCACGGTGCTGCTGGTGGCGCGGGTGACATTGGTGGCATGGGTGTCCCGGTCTCCCTGATGGCCGGGTGTCCCCAGTGTCCCTGGCATCCAGGTGTCCGGCTGTCCTCGTGTCCGGCTGTCCCTGACGTCCCCCTGTCACGGGTGTTCCCGTGTCCAGCTGTCCCCGTGTCCGGCTGTCCCTGACGTCCCCCTGTCACGGGCGTTCCCATGTCCGGCTGTCCCTGACGTCCCCCTGTCATGGGTGTTCCCGTGTCCGGCTGTCCCTGACGTCCCCCTGTCACGGGTGTCCCCGTGTCCGGCTGTCCCTGACGTCCCCCTGTCACGGGTGTTCCCGTGTCCGGCTGTCCCTGACGTCCCCCTGTCACGGGTGTTCCCATGTCCGGCTGTCCCTGACGTCCCCCTGTCACGGGTGTCCCGGTGTCCCTCTGTCCCCAGCACGTGGTGCAGTGCGTCTTCGTGGCCATCCGCACCATCGGGAACATCATGATCGTGACCACGCTGCTCCAGTTCATGTTCGCCTGCATCGGGGTGCAGCTCTTCAAGGTGTGAGGGGGGAACCCCCCCCCAACCCCCCCACCCCTGGGGGTCCCCCTGACCCCTCCAGGGGGTCGGGGTCTCCCTGACCCCCCCCATTTCCCCAGGGCAAGTTCTACAGCTGCACCGACGAGGCCAAGCACACGCCAGGAGAGTGCAAGTGGGTGCTGACCCCTCCCCCCCACACCCCCAAACTGACACACACAGCCCTCCCCCACTGCCCTAGTGATCCCCGACCAAGGGTGAGTGTGGGCTGAGAGAGTGTGAGTGTAGGCCGTGAGTGCAGGCTGAGTGTGCATTGAGAGTGAGTGTGAGTGCGGGCTGAGTGCGTGCGTAGGCTGAGTGAGTGTAGGCTGTGAGTGCGGGCTGAGTGTGCAGTGAGTATGAGTGCAGTTTCAGTG